GTCTGAACATATGGATTGTCCGGCCCACCTCCTGAGTTTCTGATGCAGTAAGTGGGGGTTAGTGCCTGAGAAACTGCATTTCTAACAGTCCTTAGGTGATGCTGCAGTTCGGTGACCACACTTTTGAGAACACTGGCCTAGAATATAGTAGTGCTTCCCCCAACCCTATTCAAAATCTAGCAGTAATATTTAACCAATAAACTGATTTCAGGGTCTTATTTGGAATTTCCTTTGTTAATATCCATGGTTATTATTGCTTATGTATTATAGATAAAATACAACACATTCATCAGAGAATTTTATGTTGTATTTGTGGACCAACAGAAATTATAAAATCTTGATGTAGTAGTAGACCAGAAACTCAGACATCTCCTTTGTGTATTTACCATAAAATTGTCACATCTGAATTTTAAAAATTACACTTAATAGTGTCTTAATTGTATTAAGATAATCGATTTAATTATTTAAATCACTGCTCATCTAAGTGGATACTACTCTGTAAACAAAATTACATTTTTAAATGAATAATAGAAGTTCAATCATTTTCTCATTTTCACTCATGACCTTAGCTCTATCTGAACACAGACTGTGGGGTTCCCCTAGGATCATTAAAGAAAGACAAGAATGATTTTTCTAGAATTGTCCCTAAGTACTTGGCTGCATATCTTTGAAGAAATCATCTCTCTCTCAGATAATTCCACAGCCATAAAACATAGCAACTCTACACCTATCAGGATGGCTAAAAGGAAAAATAGTGACACCAGCAAATGCTGGCAAGGATGCTGAGAAACACGACTGGTAGGGAAGCAAAATGCTACAGCCACTCTGGGGAACAGTTTGGCAGTTTCTTATAAAACACAACATGTAATTTCCATATGATTCAACAATTGTATTCTAGGGCACTTGTCCCAGAGAAATGAAAACTTAGGTTCACCTAACTGCCTGTCCACTCATGTTGACAGTCATTTATTTGTAACAGCCAAAAACTGGCATTAGAATAGGTATCTTTCAAAGGGCGAATGGCTAAACAACCTGTGATACAGCCATACTGTGGAATACTACTCACCAACAAAAAGGAACAAGCCAGTGATCCAGGTAACAACTGCGATGGCTCTCCAGGGAACCATGCCCAATGAGAAAATCTATCCCTGAAGATTACATTCTGTATGATCCATGGGTATAACATTTTTAAACTGACATTTTAGAAATGGAGGACAGATTAGTGGTTGCCAGGTGTTGGGGCAAAAGTATGGGTATAAAAGGGCGATGTGGGGATGAGGAGGGAGGGTTTGGTATTGGAACCATTTGGTATGTTGACTGTGGTGGTGGACACATGAACCCACATGGGTATTAGAACTGTATAGAACTTAATAAACACACATGCATGCACACACAAATCAGTCCAAGTAAAACTGAACTGGGAAAATCTGACTTCCGTTGGGTTTTATCAGTGTCAGTATCTTGGTTGTGTATTACAGTTTTGCAAAATGTTACCATGGGGGAAACTGGGCAAAGTGTACAAGGGGTCACTCTAGATTATTTCTTACAACTGCATGTCAATCTACAATTATCCCAATAAAAATTCCAATTTAAAGGAGCAATTAATAAACCCAATGTGATGATAATATGGTAAGACTTACATATTGGTAATATTCAGTCATTATTTAGAGGAAGATCCTAAAAGGCTCTATGAATAAAAGGATATACAAATGTGCTAATTAATCACAATTTTGTACACCCAATTGTTTTAAAAACTTGATTTTAGGTGAAAAACAAAGGAAGCCTAGATTCTAGATCGAGACAAGACCTTAAAGGCTAGTCTAATCTAGCCACTGGCTCAAGAGGCAGCAGCTAAAGTACAATAATATTCTCTCAGGAGGTATTTGTTAGAACCTTCCACTGCCACCAGGGAGCCTCTGCACAATACGCCAGATTTCCTGAGGGTAATAGCACTAGTAGGTTTGGGGGCAAAGAGTATTAGCACATGCACTTTATTTGTACTAATAACAATTACCATTTACCGAGTACCTGTTATAGTAGGCCACTAAATCTACTTTTAATTTAAACCTCATAATATCTTTGGATGAGAAGCATTATTATCTCCATTTTACAGATGAGCAAAGTGAGGCTTAGAGAATTTAACTAGCTTGCTCTGGCACCAGCTAGTAATGTGGTGGGAATCAGGGTAGAATGCGGGTCTGTGTAGGTCATAGCTGGCATCTTCAGCATACCCACTGCCTTCAAGAAAGAGGCTTTTGTGCTGACTCCTGAATATACACATATGGAATGTGGAATATTCCCAATGTCATATGCTTGATCATTGCCTTTGGATTAGAAGTTCTTAATTTAGGGGCTCTGGAAATGTACAGGATCCACAACAAATTGGTTGTAGGAGATCATGAACCTACTGAAATTGGATGAAAAATCTGGTATTTATATACTGTATTCAGAAAAATCTGAATTTTTCAGGGGAAAGGGTCCATTGTGTCGATCAGATTCTCTCAAGAGGCTTGGGACTCAAAAACAGGTTAACACCCAGAAATTCCAGTTCTAGGAATTTACCCTAAGAATGCAGCACGCCAGTTTGAAAAAAACAGATGCACCCCTATGTTTATCGCTGCACTATTTACAATAGCCAAGATATGGAAGCAACCTAAATGTCCATCAGTGGATGAATGGATAAAGAAGATGTGGTACATATACACAATGGAATATTATTCAGCCATAAGAAAAAAATAGATCCTACCATTTGCAACAACATGGATGGAGCTACAGGGTATTACGCTCAGTGAAATAAGCCAGGCAGAGAAAGACAAGTACCAAATGATTTCACTCATCTGTGGAGTATAAGAACAAGAAGGAAAACTGAAGGAACAAAACAGCAGCAGAATCACATAACCCAAGAATGGACTAACAGTTACCAAAGGGAAAGGGACTGAGGAGGATGGGTGGGAAGGGAGGGATAAGGGGGGGGAAAGAAAGGGGGCATTATGATTAGCACATATAGTGTGGGGGCGGCACGGGGAGGGCTGTACAACACACAGAAGACAAGTAGTGATTTTACAGCATCTTACCTCGCTGATGGTCAGTGACTGTGAAGGGGTATGTGGGGGGGACTTGGTGAAGGGGGGAGCCTAGTAAACATAATGTTCTTCATGTAATTGTAGATTAATGATACCAAAAAAACAAAAACAGGTTAACAACTACTGCAGTCAGATCCAAAGAGGCATTTTTTTTCTACTGGAAAATGTTTCACAGGGAAGTTATACATTTGGGAGAAATAAAATCAGCTGCCAAATCTACACAGAAAGGGTCAGAACTGCTCTTTTGTGAAGTCATTGCAAAGAGGATACTTAAAGAAACTCACCCAATTTCATCTCTGTCTCAGAATTGTTTGACATTTACCATCTACTTGTTCCAAATATCTTTGGAAGATGGTATTTTTGACAAATTTGATACATGATGAGAAGATATCGAGGTCCACCTCAAGTTAATTATAAGGGCTGGCTCACCAACTGAGCACAACACTGTGGCTGATGATTGTTAAGTGGTCAAATATCATTTATCAGCTTTTCATGGAGTTAGGTGTAAGGATGGAAGAAGATACAGCAGTTAGGTAACTGCACACTGAAGACTGTGCTGGAATACACATTCATTTTCCTGCTTTTGCAGAAGCTGTTCCTTGTCAATGACGTCCTTCCCCACCTCTTTGTCCAACAAACTTAACATTGCCTTTAAACCCTAGGTCAAGGTCTATGATCCTCCCATTTCTCTCCTCCTAGGCAGAAGTGTCCTGTTACCTATGTGCATGTGCTAAATCTCTGCATACAGCTCCTTCACTGTACCACTGTCAGTTGCTCATGTCTGTTTCATCCAGTCAACTGAGCCTCTATAATGCTGTAGCCATGATTTATTTGTGTTCCTTGTCCCTGGCCACATAGTATGGTCATTGGCCGATGAATAAACCATTAACTTCCATTTAGGAAGGCCCTCCTTGTACAAGCTGTGTTGAAAGAAACAGTTAGGTATATCTAGTTAAACGACAACAGCAATTATTTGTTAATGAGTAAACAAAACGTCATTCAGTAACCTCCCGACTCAGGTGTTGAGGAAACAATAAAAAAAAAGCAAGGCCCAGACATCTAGGCAGGCAAGAAAACAATGAGGTTAGGAAGTGAAAGGTTTTTCAGTCAAACAGCTGGGCATCAAGAGAGGCCAGCACTCACGTAAGCAGAAAGGTGTTGGTTGGTTTAGAGAGGAGAGACTTCTTGATTATGGGAATAAAGAGGGAAGATACTGATCGGGCTGAAGGAAGAATGGGGGTTGCTTGGGGTTGTCAGACTCTAACTGGATTTATTCAGACCCAGCGACTCACTCTGTGACAATGGAGAGGATTCTGGATCTACTGTTCTGTAAACAGCTTGTATTCTTGGATAGTTGACTAGAATCACTGAAAGTCTGAGCTGGGAGGGGCCATAGGAATGATCTAGTCCTGTCCTTTTATTGGACTGATTGAGGCTCCAAGAGGCAGCCTTGAATCCAGGCCAGGAGAGACTGCTTTTGAACTGGGGTGAGTTGGCTGGGCACATCAGAAACTGCAGGGAGAAGGCTCTATTCTGGAGATTATGACTCCAGGGAAGACCCCTGACTGCAGGAAATGGCTTCAATGTCTCAGACTGGCTTCCTTAGGACACAAACCAAATAAAGGGATTTACAGAATTAGGTAGTTGGTCAAAAACACGTTTGAGAAACAAACTCAGCTTTTTCCTCTTAAGTTAACACAGTATTTCATCTCTGTAACAGGCTAACAAAGAGAAGCGTTTGTTTGCCGGAGAAAGCATAGTGAGCTTTTAATTCTACCCTGCAACCCTGGGAGAGGGAACATGTTAGCAGAAAGCAGGGAAACACAGGCCGTAAAGCGGCCTGTTCGGTTAAATTGTATGCAGATTGCATAAGCAAACATCTACCTCTCAAATTTTATTCCTCCCTCTCCTCGTTACCTTGTCCATATATGGCACTTCCTGCGATTAACGCAACTTTGTTCCGGGTCACTAGACCGCACTAGTTGCAGCGCACTCTTGGGGGACTTTGTTTCTTTGAGAAGTCCTTCTGTTCAAAGTGTATCACCAAAACTGTCTTAAGATATAAAACAGAAGGCACCACATGCCTAATTTGTGCAAGGTGCTTGGTGTAGTGAACGGCCACGGTTTCATGGAGCCCCTTCAATAGCTGCCTGGAGGCTTGAATGAGAGACCTGGAAAATCGATTACGTTCTCGGAACATCAGCGTCCGCACTGCAAATCGGTTCCATCGGAGAACGTGGCGAAGACCGAGGGTGACGACGCGCAAGCGGCCCCGGCTCCGCACGCCCGCACCGCTCCATCGCCTCCGGGAGCGTAGCTCCGGGTCCCGCTGAGCCCCCCAACCCGACCTCGGCCCGCGAGCCAGAGGACGCGGGAGGCGCCGGTTCCACACCCCTCGCTCGAGAAGAGGGTGGGCGACGTAGCCGCGAGCCCCGCCCCGCCGTAAACCGCGGGCACGCGCACGCACGCAGGCGCGGGGGCGCAGGCCCGGGGCGCGCAGGGCCGGGCCGGCAAGGCGGCGGGCGCGCGCGCAGCTCCGGGAGGCGGTGGCGGCGGAAGCAGCGAGGGCGGCGGGCGTCCGGCTCTGAGGAGGTGGTGTTGGGTGACGGCGGCGGCGGCTCCGGACTGGACTCTGCTAGT